TGAGAACACTGCTTTCAGCATAACTGTCATTTTCTTGCAGTTGATCTATTTTTTCTCTTTGCAGCTTTTAAGCTCTTTTGTCTTTCCATTCTGCAGTATCACTGTAATGTGTTTAGGTATGGGTTTCTACTTATATATTCTATTTGGTATACTATGTGCTTCTTTCTCTATAGACTCATATTTTCCATCAATTATCTGTTACTCTCGAAATATTGCCTACCCTTCATTCTCTCCTTCTGAAATTCCAATTAGACATGTAAGACCCTCTTGTCCTATTCTACATACAGCTTAACCTCTCCTTCATATTTTCCATCTCCTTATCCTGGGCAATTTCTTCAAATCTCTCTTCGAAGTCACTGATTCTCTCTTTAGTTATATCTCATGTGTTGCTTAATCTATGCGTTGAGGTTTTTTTTTCTTTTAGCAATTATACATATATTTTTTATTTTTTTAATGTTTAAAAAAGAGACAGGGTCTCACTCTTGCTCAGGCTTGTCTTGAACTCCTGAGCTCAAGTCATCCTTCTGTCTCAGTCTCCCAGAGTGCTAGGATTACAGGCACGGACCACGACGCCCAGCCTCTTTTAGCAATTATATTTTATTTCTAAAAGTTCTATTTGGTTCTTTTTATCGATCATTTTTATGAGCTTATCATTTTTCTCTTCAAACATTTTCAAATATACTTATTTTATAGTCTGAAAAATTATATCTCAATATTGGGAATTAAACCCTGTTAGGAATCTAAATCTCTTCTTTTTGTTAACTCACTTACATAGTTTGTTCTCTTGTTTATTGAATAATCTTTGTGAGCTCATATTTGGTTGATTTTAATCTGAGGAATTTCTGGATTAATTCGGTCCTCCAACCTTGAAGCTTGCCCAGGTCTTAGTCTGTATCCCAGAGGTATTAATAATTATCAGCAATTTCCTTCAGAGTCATTCCACTTTTCCAATGTGCTTACTGCTCATCGCTCCATTTTCAGCTCATAGTTTTGTTTCTTTGTTTTAGCCAAGGAAGTAGGGTAGAGTCTCTTTCCCTCAGAGACTTTGCAAAGTACAAGAAAAAAGTAGCAAGAATATCTAATAGCTCCAGAATATCAGGTTCACTATACTGCTGGCAGTATAAGGCATCTTTTTTTTTAAACCTCTTTCTGCATAATTTTTCATTAAGAAAAATTTCAAACACTCAGAAAAAGCTGAAAGACCATTACAATGTACACATGCATACCTCTGTCTAGATTTGACAACTGTTAATATTTTTCCATATTTGCTTTTTGTGTGTGTGTGTTTTTGCTGAAGTATCTGAAAGTAAGCTGCTGATACCATGACTCTTCATCCCTAAATATTTGAGGCTTCATTTCAAGCTAAGGTTCATCCTCCTATATAACCAATTCCATTATCACACCTAAGAAAATTAACAAAAATTCCATAATATCATCTAATATCCAGTCTGTATTCAAAGGTACCAAATTATCCCCAAAATGATTTTTATAACCCTTTTTCAAACCAAGATTCCAACAGGATCCATGTACTGCATTTGGTTACTGTTTCTTTAATCTAAAACAGACTCCTCTATCTCAATCTTTTTTAAGATGATAGTGTCTTTTTGAAGAGTCTACGCTAGTTGTCTCATAAGATATATTACATTCTGGTTTGTGTAATTATTTCCTCATGGAGTCATTCAATTTGTTCTTCTATCTCCTATATGTACTATAAATTAGAAGTTAGGTATATAGGCTTGATTAGGTGATGACCTCCAGTTTCCTCCACTGTAAAGGTATATTTGCCCTTTGCAATTGTAAATAATCTGTGACATGATCCTTGGCAACAAGTGAATATCCTGTTCCAAAGCAATCTTTCACCTAATGGTTTTAGTATCAACTGACGATCTTTGTTTAAATCTATTAAGGTTTCAAAATGGAGATTTTTAAAATTCCTTCATTCCTGCTATAGTTATTCACTTAAATTTTTTGGTGAAGAGCTTTAACTCCACCTCCTCAACACACACACTTTTTTCCTGAGTGTCATTCCAGACTAATTAATTTTTGATGCTTTAACCAGTTGTGAGGGAGGCCCAAGTGGCTTTTAAACTTATTCAAAGATGCTCCTCTTTGTTCATATTAAGAAAAAAGAACATTAAAACTAAAATCAGATAATTTTTCAAACCTTACTACCATGGAGCAAAACTTTTGATAATATACTTCACTGGCAAGCATGTGAAAGAAATAGGAGCTCTTTATTATGAAAGGAAATATAAACTAGTAGTCTCTTTAGAGGACAAGTTAATTTCAAATCCTACAGATTTAACCTTTAGATATTCCTGCATATATGCACAAAGTATAGAAGTATACATAAGTATATTCTGTACCTTTTTTTTTAAGCTACAGCTGCTGGAATGGGCAGTACTATTTTTAATAGCACAAAATTGTAAGATGTACATCCATCTTCAGGACATAGGTTAAATTAGGGTACTTTCATGTAATAAAGTATGATGCAGTTTAACATTTTTTGATATGTAATAACTTTAAGATATATCATTATGGCTTGACTTAATTTCCTAATACTCTAGTCTTTCCTTACTCCACTTCAGCCACACTGACCTTGTTACTCTTCATCAGACACCCAAGCACACTCCTAGCTCCAGGGCTTCTATAATTTTCCCACTGCCTGAAATGACAGATATTCACTTGGCTCATTCTCTCACTGTATTCAGGTTTTTGTTCTTATATGATGATAAGACAGGCCTTCCCTGACCTCCCTATCAAGTCCTATTTCCCCAGCCCTAACCCTCTCTAGTCCTTTATCCTGCTTTACTTTTCTTCATAACCTATTACCTCCTAACATGTTTACTCGTTTATCTATTTATTATAAATCTCCTGCAACACTAGAATTGTCAGCTCCAATGGATTTTATTTGCTTTGTTCACAACTATATCATCAATGCTTAGAACAGCACTTCCATAGTGAGTACTTAAAGATATTTTTTTCATTCACATATATAAAAGCCATGGCTCACAACAGTGTATACATTATGCTATATGCCTATATATTCATAAGGTATCTTTAGAAGGATATTCAAGAAACTGGTGACAATGTTTGTCCCTAGTGAGGTGAAATGGGAGGGTGAGGAGTAGTGATGAGGGAGACTTACTACAATGTATATACTTTATCACCATCTGAATTTTTAACCATGTATATTCACTAATAACATAAAAAATTAATTCTAAAAATTTAAGAAAATGTATGTCCAAAGAACACCTTAATTTAATCTGTCGCCCCTTTTTATATTTTCCAACTTAATGCAGGTACCCTTAACAAAATTTTTAATACTTTAACTTTTTGTTTGATAGGCTTGTTTACTAAACAAATCAGACAAGGTTGTTTTGGTTGTTTTGACAAAAGTACAACCAGAAAGTAATCACAATCAGCTATGAAGTGAAGGTGAATATTTTACTCATTACATACTATTTAAATGACTAGAAAGATATACATCAACATGTTAACAATGATGACTTCTCATTAGACAGCTAATGGGTCGTTAAGCTATCTTAGACTTTACTTTTCACACTAATCATAAATTACTTCTATAATCAGAAAAAAAATAAGGCACTTTAAAAAATTCAAGGTTTAAATAAAGTAAAAATTTAAACTTAAAATAACAATTCCTTCCTAATATATATTTTCCATAAATGTGATATTATAATAGAAAATGAAGAAAGGCATTTCATAGTCAACATAACATTTTCCTTAGAATTCCAAAAAATAATTCTACAACAAAATTTCTCAGTATCATATTAATTTTCTCTTCAATATTCTTTTCCTTATTATCTTTTCTTATTCTTCCAGGTTGGCATATACAATCAATACAATTCTATGCTTAAGCATAGACAATTCAGAAAATGTGATCCTTTTAAAGGATTTTAAATTAACCATGATTTTTAATTCTTTTAAAATGTTTAATTTCTCATTTTCTTTCTAGTTCTGTTTCTTCCTCTCAAGCTATAATTCTTAACACTTTAGAACCCATATTTTTATAGAAGATATATCCTTACAATAATGGTTTTAAATTTCTTTAAAATTAATGCTTTTCATTGATTACCAATTAATGTGGATATATTCCCATGGAAAATTCCCCTTTCATAAAATCATAGGTTGTAAACCCTGAAGTAACTTCAAGCAATTTTGTTTCAGGCATAAGAAGTATCATCATTCCCACTATACAGATGAAATACTTAAGGCCTAGAGAGATTTGGTAAATTGTTCAAGGTTATCTAGCTATTTAATAATGAAAGAGAGTAAGAAAAGAGATTAGGGAGAAGCCCTCCTTGTTTTTCACTGCAGTACTGTTTCTACTACAATTCACACCAAGTTTATAAATTTCTGAGAGAAAAAGAATAAGATGATAGCTGGGTCCACAGCCTGCTGTGTGACCCTATACCCAGAAATTCTTTTCATCATTGCTCCTTTGTTACTATTATATAGATTATAGAAATTTCCTCTGTATTTGTTAAAAGCAGCAAGGAACCTAGTAATAGACCCCACCTTGGCCTCAGCTGTCCGCCAGTAGAGAGCATAAATTCCTTGTTGGAAGTCTGTGAAGCCAATCTACAATGTAATTGTAGCACTGAAAATTAGCTACTCTAATTTTCCATGTTTGTGAGTATATTCCTTTAATAGAAACTATACCAGTTAATGCTTGAGTTCTGTGGATCAGAGTTCTATTTCTTCAATTCTGTAAAATAACATTTTAAAATTAGGACTATCTGCAGTAAAATAAACCACATAAAAACAGTAACATGAGATAAATCTTAATGGCATAAAGGGATAACATAGCATGTTACTGGACTCTGAACACTACTGGAAAAAAGGAAGTTTTGCTACAGACGTTTTTCATTTCACAATAAAAATCAACTGATAAGAAAACTGTATATTTGTATACATTGTTACTAAGGACTACAAATGTATTGCACTGTACAACTCTCATGATTTTAAAGAGTACATACCAACAGTTTTTTGCCGTACTATACTCCTTGCCTTTTCGGTTCCTGGGGAACCAGTGGTTGTTGCACTTCTCTGTCTCATTGGGGCTTGGCCAGGCTGATCACGACTCCATCCTCTAGAAAAAGACTTGTCAACTGAAACTTTCTGAAATTCATGTCCGACTCCTAGAAATGCAGATTTTCAATCTCAGTATACTGTTACCTGATCAATAAAATCTTCCAATTATGTGTGCTATCTGCCTCAGATTCTTATACTTGCTCATAATAAATTATAAAGTAACAAGATAAATTGTGTATTGTAAAGCTTTTTTGAGCTTCATTTTAGGTAAAAATCATATTCCAAAACTGATGCAGAATTTTAAAATTACACCATCAACAATAATCTACTATAAATTCTCTGCCACCCACTTGCTTTGTAATAGAAATGAAATATTTGGATAGCAAAAAAAGACAGGAAATGAGCTAACCAAAAGGCATCCTGTGGTGATGGGTACTAAATCTCTACCTGCTACTATAGCCACTTGGGAAATAAATAGTCCAGGAAAAAGTAGTTGGAGCACATATTTAATAGCCTGTATACATTACAGGGATGAATAGTACAGGGATTACACATATAAAATGTGACACAGATGTAATCTCTAGCTAGTAACTAATTTTCAAGAACGTAAAATGCTAATAAACCAAGTATTATAAAAATATATGTTAATGATATACTACTGTCCCGCTCCCTTTTAACATTAGACAGATACATATTTCACATCTAGGGAATGTCTACTTTTAGTTAAAACTAAGTAAATGTGTTCAAAAGAATTTTTCAAGTATTTCTTTATTGTATACTTTTTAAATAAAGTAACATGAAATAATCTCAGTTCTAACAAAAATTGCTTATGATAAAAAGGAATGACATTTTACAAATTTCCATTTTAGTTAATTATTAAAAAACATTTAAGATTCTGAATTAATTTAACTTTACTCAGAGATGTACAGAAAAATTTATCTCTTATCAAAAATACTACTGATTTTAGGTTAAGAAAAATTACAGGGTACCTGCATGTTTTATTCTTGGAAATTTTAAACCTCCAGGGTAAATAAAGGAGAGAATAAATAAGAACAAAGATGATCTTCATCCTCACCCCTTTCCCCTTGGCTTGTTCTTCCCTGATTCAATTATTTGAGTAAAATTTTTTCTATATACATACAGAGAATATGAATATAATATATATTATATATAGAATATATATAATATATATAGAATATGAAAATATTTATATGAATATAAATATATCTGTGAATAACTCTTACCTTTCCCTTTGTGCTTTTTTTGCTTCTGTTCACTCAGTTTATCCAATGGTAAATCACTGAGATCCAAACTATATAAATTCCTAGCTAAAACTTTAGTTAATGTCTCCATTGTCAGTGACCACTCAGTGGCCAACTCTTCCCAATAGGTCAACGATGACAATACTGATAATAAGTCATCCCAAAGTTCTCGGGAGATGTACACATTTAGATTTGCTTTGATCCAGGCAACTATAAGTGTCTATAAAGACAAATGATGAGAAATAACAATAAAATGCATTTAGTGTATAACTTCAAAATCAGATATTCAATTTAAAAAATCACCTAAAAACAAGCAGAATTGTAAATCACATAATAGCTTTCTTCATAGATAATACTTGTAAAAGTTATTCATGCAATCATTAGTATCCATTATAAATTTCACTTCAACAAGGGGCAACCCTCAACACTCCAGTGATCCAAACCAAAAAGAAATTTCCCTAAAGTTATACCTATTCTTCATGCTACACTACAGTAACGTTAAATAAAATAAATGCTGTTTTAAAAGAGATGAATTACTGAACCAAAGAACCAAAACCTACATTCTCAAATTAAAGATGGAAATCACTATATAATTTGAAAATTCCTTTTACTATTATAAAAAAAAGGTATATTGTTTATTCAGACTATAAAAGTTATTTCATATAGCAAGATAAAAATTTATCTTTCTGTAGCTCCCACCATTGGGTTAGTTCTAACAATGAGGAAATGTGAAAAGAAAAAAAAAAGGCCAATGAAGTTAAGAGGAGTTTAGATAATACATGTAGCTAGTTTTAAAGGATTATGCACCATCATAGAATTTTAGGTAAATGGCTAATATCTAGAAATTGTAAATAACATTTCAGATAGTCACACAGCCAAGAATTAGATCTCAGACAGCTTTTATCTTTGACATTAAGAAGTATTTTACGTATGTATTTGCATTTAATGTGTCATCTTCAGAAAACTGTTTTTCTGTTTTCAAAGAATCCATAACACACTTGAAGTCAACACTTTGTGTCCTCAGGTTGGAAAACGTAGTATGTAATTCCTGTATAATCAAACTACCACTGATACTTCAAATTAAGAGAGGTTAATAAAGTCTTATGGAACAGCATGATAAGAAAGAATCTTGATTACTCACTACTTTTTCATTACTACAGAACCACATAAAAGACAGTTTTTCCTAACAATCCTGAATATTTGGAAACTCACAAAGCAAACAATCAGGCCATTACCCCTGAAGTCCTCTGCCAGCTTTTTGCAACTGTGTGCCACACAAGACATAAAATTAATATCATCGCTCTGTTAAAACACTTTTTTCACAGACCTGATATTTCCTCTCTTATACTGGGTTGTGAGTTAGTACGTACGGCAAATAGCCTATCTAGATGAGCAACTTTTAATTTAGCTATACAAAAGATCTTTTAATGTAAAATGATCTCAGATTTAAAGCTTTTTTCCCAGGTAACAAGTTCAGGATTCAGTGAATCTTAAAAAAAAAATACATATCTATCCAACTATTTATCTATTTTTTAAATTTTTATTGCCTGGAAAAGTGGTCCTGCAAGTCGACCTGCCAAAGTCATATTTTTTTTCCCCTGGAACTGTAGAAAAGCTTGTGATGGCATCTTCAGTACAGACTCGGTGACTCTGAGCAACACAAGCAGCATCTGTTCCCTTAAAGTAAAAAGATTAATTAATGTTTTCTTATTGTATATGTTTGCTTTTGGTTAATGGTTAACTTTGAAATTAATATTTCTTATAAACAGTAGTATGTTTGGAATTACTAAAATATCAAACATCTCTGAAAGACAATTTCAAATTGTTAGAGTTCTTTAAATATTACAATTTAAAATTCCATTTTATACATCAGTATCACCATTTTAAACCATTTATCAGCCACAATGCCCTCTCATTAAATAAAAATCTATCCAAAAGCTAATGAATTGGGGGTGATAATGTGCAGATTGCACCCATCTCAACCACAAATCTAGTAGCAATCTTAGAGAGTTGTCTGAAGAACACTCACCTATTACAATATAGTTCTACCTTGATGCTTGTCCATCTGATCCATGTTTATGATACGGAGAACCACATATAATACCAGGCTCAATTACAAAAACTACATGATATCTTAACATTAAAAGATCACAAAGAGACTGATAACTAATCAAAGACCATTACTCTATTGCTTCTTTTCATCTTTTTTATTTTGGCCATTTTTTAATCTTTTGTTCTCTTCGTATACTGCATGTCAAGCCAATTCTAATATTATCTTTACCTTGCCTCTTTATCCAAGATGCTTATTATTAAAACTACAAAGCTACTTTTTTGCATCTGATATTTCAAAAACTGATTCAACCGTTTATATATAAAAATTAGGCTAACGGGAATTTCAGTTGGGGGTATAGCCAGGCTAGCAGCCAAGTCCCTATCACAGCCTTCTCCTCTTTGGCTATTTTGCAGCCCCCTTCCAGGTACAGCAATACATGGTACAGTCACTCTGAGAAATGTGAAAGAGGCAGCAAAAGATCCTAAATCTAGATATCATGGTTTTTCTAGGAAGTGAGAGCAGAAACAAATAGAAAACTATCACTCAATTTAAAAATATCCTGAATTTATTAGCAAACAAATGTATGCAGTCATTCACAGAATAAAAACCAAAGGTGTCACATTTGTAACTTTATGCTTCTACCTTAGCTATATGAAAACGAAATGTTAAGTGAAATCAACTACATAGATTTCAAATACATTTTCCAAAAAAATCTTATCTGACTGTGGTCAAACCATAACTCATATATAAGACAACATTTTCACTTTTGTATATTGTATTTGTAATACAATAATTACGATTTTAATTTATAAAGAAAAGATTTATAAATTCAACATAAATATGTGGGTAAGCTCCCAAAACGCTGTTTCTTCAAGGGAACTTAAAAAATTAAGAAAAAACTCTAAAACTGTGTTCCACATAGCAAGTCTCTCACTATAACTTGGCTCCTCAATAATTCAAAGAATATAAAAAGGAAAAAAAAGGACTAGCAAAAGAATGGTGCAATGCAGTATAATTTCTGGCTAACAATAACTTGGCTCTGAAATCAGAAAAACTAGAGTTCAAATCTCTGCTCACCACTCACCAGCTATGTGAACAAGGGCAAGTTACTTATTTGTGCCTAAGAATTAACCCATATAAAATAAGGATATTATACATCATAGGGTGCTACAAGGATTAAGAAAAGGCACGTAAAGTGCTCAGAAAGATACCTGGCACAAAAAAGAGTTCCAAACATGTTAATAATAACTACCTCTACATGTAATTCTATTAATATTGTTAGTAAAGAACTTTTTCAACATAAAGCCATTTTTCCATATGTAACAAAACATAAATTAGGCATATCCTTTCACCAAGTATTCCTATTTTTAAAGAATGAGTCAAAAGAGGAAAATTATATATATACAAGAATATTCATTGTTCTCTCTTCCCCCCAAAACAAAATAACGACATGTCCATCAATAAATGACAGGTTAAGAAAATTACGGTACATACATATGATATAATACTATGTAACTACATGTATGATTTGGTGAGCCAGATGTTCATCAAAGGGCAAACAATGATTACCTTGAGAGAGTAAGTTTCTGAGCAAAGTTTTTCTTTTTTAAACTTTTCTTTGTTAGAATTTTATGATAAACACGTATCATTTTTACAAAAATTGTAGAACTACTTTCTCATCTCTCCCAAGTCCATTTTTCATTCGATTAACAAATATTTACAGAGTATCAACAATAATATAATGTACTGTGCTAAGAAATGTAGGAAATACAAAAATAAGACAACCAGTATAGGGTCTCTTAATTCAGTGAGGTAAACTGACATTTATACAAGTATCTTAGGGACAAGACAATTTTTACAAGAACTATATAGATGTAAAAATATAAAATGAAAAAAGTGAAGAAAAAATTTTATATAAGGCTATGTAGAAAGAAGGAGGTAAAATCTAAAAGATAGTTGTGATGACAATAGGATAAAATGGTAGGAACTAGATATTTCTAAAGAAAAGTTCAGAATGTGCTCACCAAAGAGCAATTTAATAAACCTGAAAAGCAGGATCCTACCCTTCAAGGTGTAAGTTAGACTTAAGACAGGAAAAGTAGCCAGGAGCCTGACTGTACATGGCTCTGAATGCCAGACTAAGGAATGGGGCATTCACACATTCAATCATCTACTTATTCATTTACACATGCATAAATTCATTTATTCATACATGCATGTATGCATGCATTTATTCTTTGGGGGAAAGGGATATAAAGCTATCATATACTCACTTCAGAAGGACAGTCTAAGGGGTTGTGTGGAAGTCTGAACAAAGATGTTTGAGATAAAGTGAAAAGGACAATTGTCACCGTGATTATTACATAAAATATTATTCATTTATTCAATAATAAGAGCCCATATAATATTGTAACAAGCCCTATTCACGGACACTATTCCTCTAAAAATTACTATACTTGTGTATACAATAACAAAAACACTCTATCTACAAAGAATAAAAATTATTTACCAAGTCTTTTTGTCCATTGATACTTGCACAACCATGTACCGATAGATGTTAAGAATGCGTTTACACATATCTGTGTGCTCATCCAGAAGATTTTTTATTTCATTTGCAGGTTCAAGAAGAAAAATGTTTGATGAGTTTATAATAAACACCTAAGACAAAAGAAATTATCAGTAATTTCAATGGCAAATTTCTTATTCAAAGAGAAATGAACTTAGATGTTGATCACTAGATTGCCTATAATCAACTTAAAAGCACTATGGGTTAATTCTAACCCTGCTTCTACCACCAGCTTAATATAAGAAACTTAAACTCATTACACCTATTTTTATATTTATCTAGAACAAATATAAAATTACTAGAAGGGATCCAAAGAAAATAAATAAAGTGCAAAAACAGAATTTCTAAACTGAGCAGCTTTAACATAAAATGAAAAGAACAATGAATAAATACAAATAGTTTAGGATAAATGATGACACCTAAATCCAGAAGAATACTCTGAGTTGTTGAAAACATTTTACCCTCTTTTTCTTATTTTTATGTGTATATATCTGTTGTGGTGACAACAGACTGCATAAACAGATGTCATTATAAATAATACTACTGAGAAGCCATCAATATGTATCTTTAAGTAAATTCATTATAACCAACTCATTAACTGTATGTCATTATAGAGGACAAAGTTAACATAATGGCAACAGCTACACAGGGTATCAAGTACACTTTGGGAGAACAGAACTTGTTTATTGTGAACCCTCAATTCTGATTTAAAGCCCCTTGAAAAACTATACAACAAATTATAGTTGTAAAATTATATAAGAATTTTTTTTTTTTTTTTTTTTGAGACAGGGCCTCGCTCTGTTGGCCGGGATAGAGCACAGTGGCATGACATAGCTCACTACAACCTCACACTCCTGGGCTCAAGCAATCCTCCTGCCTCAGCCTCCCAAGTAGCTGGGACTACAGGTATGTGCCACCAAGCCCGACCAACTTTTCTATTTTTTCTAGAGATGGGGTCTAGCTCTTGCTCAGACTGGTCTCAAACTCCTGACCTCAAGTGATCCTCCTGCCTCGGCTTCCCAAAGTGCTAGGATTACAGGCATGAGCCACCACACCCGGCCAGAGAAAAGAACATTAAGCAAACTTTGAAAATAGTGAAAAAAGCTGATTCTGTAAATCTAGCAACACTGACCAAGAAAAGCAAGAGAGAGGCATAAGCATTAGAAATAAAATAAAGACATCACTATCGGTTCAGCAGATTTTTAATTAACTCAGTGAGTAACTTTATGCCAATAAAATTGAAATTTTAATGACATGGATTATAGAAAAAACATAAATTGCCAACACTGACTCAAGAAGAAATAGAAAAGATGCATATATGAATACTGTGAAAGAAATTGAACTGGTAATCAAGGCCTCCGTAACCCATCCCTGAACAACAGGCCTAGACAGCTCTGCAAAGTTTTGCCATACCTTCATGGAAGATGATTCCTATCTAACATATGCTCTCTCAGAGAGAAAGAAAAAAAAAACCCACCGGATTTATTTTATAAAAACATAATCTCGTTATCAAAAGCAAACAAGGACTATATAAGAAAAGTAAATAAGAGGCCAATATCATTTATGATATGATTCTCATAGAAATTAAAATCTTGAAAAAATGCTAAAGTTCAAATTGAGCAAATGTAATTATTTTATAACCACGTAGTGTTTACTCCAGAAATGTAAGGATGCTTTAACATCAGAAAAATCTAGTAATATACCCTATCAAAAGATTAAAATGGAAAAAAACTATGATTATCACAAAGCATGCAGAAAAGGCATTCAGCACTTACTCATTACCTACTAAAAAAAAAAAGTTTTAGCAAACTAAGAAAAAAGCAAAAATTCATCAATCTGAAAAAGAGCATTTACCAAAAAGTATAACAAATGTATACACAGCAACAGAACTTGAGATGTATTGCCAAAAACTAATATGATGATGACAAGGTGCTCACTATCACTTCATTGTCCTGTGTGGGGGCCAGTAAGCACAAAAGGGAGGGAGGGGGTTAGAGAGTCAATATAAATATAAATGAAAAGAAAAAGACAAAACTGAGCTATGTTGCAATCTGGAAGAAGAACATTCCAGACAAAAGGAAAATCAAGTTCAAAGGACCTAAGGTGAAAGCCTGCCTAGCATGTCTGAGGAACAGCTAGGAGTGTAGAGTGAAATGAGCAGGGGGAGAGCAGTGGGAGATGATGTTGAAAAACAGAAACAGAGAATATGAAGCAGAGCTTCTCACACTACCAGTAGTGACAGAAGAGGTCCTCCTGCACTAGTCTTTTGCTGACTAATCCTATTATTAAATAAATACAAAATGAATTAATAGGAAAAAGGAAATGAGAAAACAAAAAGACATAAAAAATACAAAACTAAACTTTTTACCAGAATCAAGAAATAGTAAATGATTTCATTTCTAAACTTTTACTCTCAATTTTGCAAATATCCTGTGGGCCAGCACTAGTCTGTGGACCATACAGAGAAGCAATGAGAAGCAATGATATAAAGCCTTACAGAACATTATGAAGACTTTTACTTTGATGCTTAATGATAATGGAAAGCCACTGGGGGATTATGAGCAGAGAAATAATATAATCTGACTTACATTCTATGGGCTCCCTCTGTCTACTATGTAAGGAACAGAGCAGGGTGATAGGTGGTTAAGAGCTGAAGCAGAGAGACTAATTAGAACTTTACAGCAATAATAGAGATAAAACATTATGGAGGCTTCGACACAAGAGGTAGTTTAAGTATTGAGTAGTAGTCAGATTCTATATACAGATTCTGTATACATTTTGGTATACAGAAAAATAGAAAAAATTAGCCGGGTGTGATGACGTGTGTCTGTGGTCCCAGCTACTTGGGAGGCTAGGGAAGGAGGATTGCTTGAGCCCAGGACTCTGAGGTTTCAGTGAGCTATGACAATGCCACTGCACTCTAGCCAAGGCAACAGAGCAAGTCCCTGTCTCAGAAAAATAAACAAAAAAACCCCTAAAACCCTGAATGAACTCCTACAAATCAGTAAGAAAAAGACAAACACACAATAGAATAACAGAAAAAAACATGACTAGTCAATTCATATAGTAGAAAAGATGTTCAAATTCTGCACTGATGAAGGAAAACAAAACAGGAAAACAATTTTTAAAAAAAAAAATGAGATAAAGTTTTATATATTTAGGAGTAACAAAAAATTTAAATCTGACAATACAAGTAATAGGGAGGATACGAAGAAATGAGAATTCCCAGACTTAACTAGAGAGAATATAAATTATTGCAACATGTTGGAGAATAATTTGGCAAAAAAAGTAAAGCTAATAATGTACAAATCTTACAAAACTCAGCAATTCCACTTTGGGCATATAACCTAGGGAAATTCTCACAGATGTGCACAAAAACACACGTGTAAGAATGTTCACCATAGCACTGTTTGGAATAGTGAGAAACTGGAAAGAACTTAAAAGACTCCCCATCAAAATGTGAAATAAAGTACAATACCACAAAATGTAAATTAACTATGGCTGTATATTAACAACGAATCTCAAAAAAAAATGTTTAATGCAAAAACTCAGCTGCAGATGGCAGTACACCATGATATGAGTTATAAATTTTAAAACTGTCTAGAATAAGAATACGTAATGTTTATTAATATACATATTATAAAGTGAAAGTTAAGGAAAAAATATGGCATAATAATTGATAAATGTGGGTGGTAAATTTATTATATTTGAAAATTATACTGTAAGTGAAATACTGACCTTAAATATTTGAATTATTAAAAATACTAAACTTACATATCTGAAATTAAATATTTGAAACGTAATGATTTTTTTTTTTTTTAATAGCCATAAAGTGATCCACCTGCAAAACTGCCTGGGTACCAGCTCGTATGTTTTGTTCTGTGGCTTCTTCAGAGGCATTATGCAGAGCATCTTGGTAGGAGCCATTTTTTGCCCAACTGGAATTTCGAACATGATCAGCAATATTAGTCCCATTTTCCTGAAGCAAAATATCAAGTTTTTAATATTTCATTAATAAGAATGCTGCAGCAAATCAGTAAGTTGAAAATACAAATGAAATCATTAGGTCCCACCACTAAACAGGTTTCTTTCTCTCAAAATAAGTATCTGATTACAAAAGCAATATATGTTCACTGTGACAAAAAGATAAAGAAAAACATCATCCATAATGAGATGCCAGAGATTATATCATTTCAGATACACATTTTTCTCTAGATCTAATGTATAAAATTTCCTTCCCATACTGTTACACATTCAAGAATGGGATTATACTATTTACAGCTTTGGAAAAGATGAATTCTGTTCTAAATTAAATGCCAGAATCCAAATAACTTACATGAAATAGAAAATAGCTTATTATTTATCCTACTTAAGAGTAGTAAAATTCTTGGCTGTAGAGTGAAGTCTTCAAGAAACAAAAAGAGTAGTAAAGTTCGCATCATTCTGATAGTTCAAACCACTAAGATTGCAGCTTTCTGCTTGAGTTCTAGCTGTTATAAGTCTTACAGACAAGGGCATTCCCTCAGTGAAAATCAGACAGACATATTTCACTCAGTGTAGTTCTCTTTTTAAAATTTCACTCTAGTTTCTTCCTGCTTTTGGTCACTCACCAGTATCTTCAAAGAGTTGTTTTTTTATATACATACAGAGTTCATAATTGTAATATGCAGGAGATTTAGTCTGATACAAACATCTCTGCCCTTACCAGAAGCAATATCGGAACTCAGCTCTGAGTAGCCAGTACAACGCACCATGGTCTAACCTAGCCTTTCTCTGAGCTCCATACCTTTATAATCAAGTATCTTCTGAAGAGTTCTTCCTGAATGACCCAAAAGCTCCTAAATTCAAGATATTTAAAAATAAGTTTACTAACCACACCCTCCCCATTCCTATCCACCTAACCCCTCCAACCGCCTTAGCCACCAGGACCAAACTTGCACTGCTTAAAATTCCTATCCACGTGTGAATGGCAACTACTCTGATTGCAAAAACTTGGGACACCTCCCCATTCCTTATCTCTCTCAGCCAATTAATCATCAAGGCATATTGGTTTTACCACCAAACAAGCTAATACACCTGTCCTCTCCCTTATATTCCCATTGCAACTGCCACTGTACTGTAACAGGTACTTATCATCGCACTTCTGAACTTTACTAATTCTTCCTAGCTGGTCTTTGTGCCTCCAGACTGACCTCTAATCTATCTTCCACTTTGGGCCTGGTATGATCCCCTGGGCCTGGTATGAAATATGTAACTATTCATGCTGTTCTCCTATTCATAATCCTTGAAAGGCTTTCCAGTGTCTAGAATGTAAATAAAGTTCATTAACATGGCATACAAGTTACTGCACAGAATCTACCCCTTGTCAGTCTCATATTCCCTACCATTCTTTCTCATCTACTCTTAGCTACAGCCAAGTAAGAATATTTTCAAGGTTCCTCACACCTTTGTAGATGCTATTCACACTGTGTGGCACCTTTCCCATTTATCTACCTGATCTTTATATCCTACTACTACTTTCATGAAGCATTCCCTGATTTCCACAAGCAGAGGCAGGTATTCCCCTTTCATAGCAGTAACATTGTTTTATAATACTTACTTTGTATGTTTGTCTTCTGGCTAAACCTTAAGTTCTGTGAAAGCAGAAATAGTATCTTCGATGTTTATACCTCCAATACTGGTTTCAATGTGGGCAACACCATGCTTTAGAGGGCATTTTGAAATTTGTGAGAGAGATTTGTTGTCACAAGAATTGAAAGATAACACATCCCATTTAATGGGATAGGACAGGGAATGCTAAACATTCTGTAAGGCACATGAACATACACATACACAAAACTGTCTTGTATTCTGCACGTTCTTTAAATGTCTCACAGATACTAGAAGAATTTAAAAACCCATTTATAATTATTTGAACCTATAACCTAATTCCATTTTATAACACCAAAATTTTTAAATGATTTCAATATATATTGAATTTATTGGAAATGTAAATCAATGAATGATTATACCTTTTGGTTTTGGTTTATACCATTAGCAAGATTTCTGACACTTTGAAAAATCACATCTTGAATGGCAACGCTGGTTGTAGTATTTGAATAACCAATGGAACAAACCTATACAACACACATACATCATCAACCTATCCACCCTTCCCCCCTTTATTCCTTCCTTCCACTGTTTTTAATTATGTTATGTAGATAGTTTATATTATCTATCATTCTTATTTAAGAATAGTAAATGATGCAGGATAGGCTCAATATACATAGGCATAGCATGACTAAAAATGTTGGGAAAAACAAATTACTTAGACTGCTTACTTTTCCCCTTCTCGGAAGAGGGGTAAGATTGTCTACATACACACACACAAACACATACATTCATTAAATCCCTGTAGAACTGGCCTATTCATTCATACATTACTATCCTGATTAAATTCCATGGGTGAGGTTAGATTAACCACCAAAGTGAATAAACATTACCCAATTTTGGAGCTCCAGTGGCACAATCGGTTAGCACGCGGTACTTATACAACATTACCCAGTTATTCCTATCTGGATTTAGCAAGATATATATCAATCTCAGACAACTTTCTGGTGAAAAGGCAAGTTAGACAAAACAGAAAAATCACTTTCAATAAACACTTGCATTCCTAACTCCATCTCAGCACCTGCTTCTTGAAGAACTTGACCCGTGACAAGGGTTGAACAACCAAAGGATGAAAATTCATATAGGCTTAAGGAATAAATGGAACCAGGGACTCAAATGCCACCTCTACTCTCTCTTCTCTCATCTTTTTCTATCTGTGAGTAAACTCCAGCCTTTTTTATTACAGAACAGCTTATTTTACCAGGTCAGGAAGTTTCACATTCTGTAATCAGCTCTAGTGCAAAAGATTCCAAGGAAGAATTCAGAATATTGTGCTTTGTGCTGGGTAGCCAGTCCTAGAATAAAACAGACACTACTTCCAGGGAAGGGGGAGTTATAGTTTGGTAATCACTCCATGAAGTATATACTGTAACACCCATTTTAACATAGTACCACGGTTTTAAATGTTATACCTTTATAATAGGATCTAATTTTGATCTAGACAATGCCTTAAAGAATAAGTATATAACCTCAATGTTAATTTTTAAAAATTATGATATCACAGGGCTTTGTAATAGGGTACTGAGACAACGACTGTCATATTAACTAAATTGCAAAGTATACTGAAAGATATTTTTACCTTCCCATTTATTAAGTATATTTGTGTTAACATTATTATACTTTTGTGAAACTCTAATCTGTTAAACAAAAATATATCAATCTTATAACTTTACCTCTTCTCTTTTTTCTCCTTCTTCCATTGAAATATCATGGTCTGTGACATTTTCAATACAAGGGAGGTTTGAAGAAGTGATTACAATTTCTTCAGGCTCTTGCATGAACAAAGGCTTTTCCTCTTGCTGGATCCATTCTTGATATACTTTTACCACTTTTCTCATAGCTGCTGCTTCACAAATTGGTAATAAAAATGCCTAGTGAAAAAAAACAGAGAAAATGATACCTTTTCCTTTGCTACAAAACACTAATACAGTAATTCTTCACTTAATGTTATTGATAGGTTCTTGGAAAGTGTAACTTTATGCAAAATGACTTATAATGAAACCAGTTTTACCATAGGCTAATTGATATAAACAAGAGTGAAGTTCCTACCCGATATTTCCGGTCACAAAAACATCACCAAATTTCTAAATAAAGATCAAAACACTTCTAACATTAAACACTGAAATAAATGTGAACTATATATATATTTTTAAAAGATTAATAGAAACAAGTAAGATAATTATTTACGCAAATATTCCAGTTCAGGGTTGTGGATGGCCAGAGCCTACCCTGGCACCACAGGACACAAGGCAGGAACCAACCCAGGACAGGAGGCCATTCTATCTCAGGGCATATTCACACACACACCCCCACACGCACTCAGAATGGGACAATTTAAACACACCAGTTCACCTAACATGCATATCTTTGGAATGTGGGAGGAAAATAAAGTACCCAGATAAAACCAATGCTGACATGGGGAGAATGTGCAAACTCCACAGACAGTGGCCCCAGAGGTCAGGAATCTATTTTGCCCCCACCAACAAGATAACGAAACAGTATCATTCAAAGGCCTGCTATACATACATTCCTATCTTATTATAAAATGTGAAATATAAACAATTTTAAAAGTTAACCAATTCATTGTTGGAAAAAGTCTCTTGTCTCTAAATAATCTGTACACTAAGATAGAAATGTTTGAGGTAGTAAGACAATGACTTGAAGTGGAAATAACAAAGATTTGTTTCAATTATATATCTCAGAATGGTACTATTCTTTATTTCATGAAGTAATTGTGCTCTTACAAAGTTCAATATAAACATAACTTTTCATAAGTCATATTTTTGTAATCTATTAATACATTATTGGAGTTTATTATTATTATATTTTTAGAGCCAGGGTCTCACTACATTTCCCAGGCTGGACTTGAACTCCGAGCCTCAAGCAATCCTCCCACCTCAGTCTCCTAAGTAGCTGGGACTACAGGTGTGTAACACTGCAACCACCTAAAAATCAGTATATTTAATATTAAAGACAAAAGTCTTCATTATAAATTAAAAATACTGAGAGGTATTTTACCTGACGAAATATCTCTGTGACAAAATTTACATTACTTCTTTTAGAAGAAAAAACTCTGCGAACTATTTCAATGTCTGTGAGATGTTCTTCATCAATACTACAGAGACTAGATGAGCTAGGTTCTCGCTCTGTGAGAGTGCTTGTATTGGAATGAGACTGTTCTGGTTCTGTAGTTCTGTCTGCTTTATCAGCATTATCATTTTTGTTTTCTTCTCTGGATACCAAACTAGCAGCTGCCCTCTAAAATAAAAAAAGGGGAAGAATATCATAATCATTTAACTTGGTATTTTGTCTCTTAACAGCAAATATTGGCAGAATCCAAAGCATTCCACAAGTAACTTACAGCACTGTTTAAAATCCAGGCATAGAGTTTCATTTAGAATCCATTCTAAAAATAATAAAGTGACAATACAAATAACTCAATATCTAAGTGATGCAGAGATATTCTAAAATGTGTGGTAACTAATCACCGACCAACCTATAATTAGACTTGTTTCTTAGTAAGTTTGCAGTTCAAACAAGTTACTAGTTAAAGCTGAGTGAAAGAATAACATACACAGAGGCAGCTCAGATCTTCAAGAATAAGTACATAATTTACACTGGACTTTTACTTAATTAAGGCTTAATGTTTAAAATCATCTCTATTTTACCTCAGACAAAAATTTACACAGGTAAAAACTTCTTAAACAAACAACAAAAACCAAAGAAAAGGAACAAAATTTATAACAAAAGAAATAAAAATGAAACTAAAAGAAAATATTAGAAAACTCTATTCTGACAAGAGAATTTTCACAAAGACTGAAGATTAAGCCTAACTCTAGGGAAAAAGTCTTAAGGTAAATTACTACCATAATAGAGTAGGAATAGCACTATTCTCTGGTATGATAAATTACTTTCTATTAAGTTATTCAATTTTTGGTAACATTTTTGTCATCCCAGAAAATAAGAGAGTTTAAATAAATGATCTCAAATATGCCTTCCCAAAGAAAAACATCTATGCTCTTAAGTCCATTAAGTTCTAGGATCAGAAAAATAGTTCTGCTTGAGAATTTTTGCATTTAATAATTTTTTTTTAATTCTTTTTTTTTTTTTTTTCAGACAGAGTCTCACTCTACTTCCCTGAGTAGAGTGCCATGGCATCAGCCTAGCCCACAGCAACCTCCAGCTCCTGGGCTCAAGCAATCCTTCTGCCTCAGCCTCCC